GAATGTAGAAAAAGAAAAACATATAAATAGGGAACGGTGTGAAGAAACGGCTGGTTTTGGTCTTTTGCGCTTCTCTTCACTCTCTAAAAGAATTGTGGGTTTACTCCTTTCCTAAAATGAGAACAAGAGAGAGAAACAGTGGGTTGGGGATTGTAAAGAGAGGAGAAAGTGAGTTTTCTCTCTTCTAAAAAGTACTATTTTTATCGTGCAGAGCGAAAGATAGAGAGAGGAAGGAAGAAGTATGACTGTTCTTTTTTTTTTTTTTTTTCAATACCGAAAAAAAATTTATATAAAAAAATAAAAAAAATTGAGTCTCTGAAGAAATGGGGTCTATGAAGTGGTGGGGTGGGTAGTTTGGGACAAAAGAAAAATATCAGAGAAAGTTTCTTCCCATCTTTAAAAAAATTTGAATTTCTGTTTTTTATTGTATCCTTTTGCTTTTTTTATCGAAAAAAAAAAAAAAAAAAAAAAAAATGAGTCTCTGAAGAAATGGGGTCTAAAGTGGTGGGTGGGTAGTTTGGACAAAAGAAAATATCAGAGAAGTTTCTTCCATCTTTAAAAATTTGATTTCTGTTTTTATTGTATCCTTTGCTTTTTTTATCGACAGAACAAGTTTTGATAAATTCTATCCTTCTTCTTTACTAAATCCAAGAGGACAAGAAGAAGAGAAACAAAATGTAAAGAGCTTTAAGTCTTTCACACCAACAATAGCCCAACAATCAAATTCATGTATAATTTATTAATTGAATTTCCAGCTTTCTCACAAGCTCCCTCCATTAACAAATTGTTCAAGTTCAACCTTTCCCCTTAACCAACATCATCCTCCAAGCTCCAATCAACTCTCCATAATGTTAATTAAACTGGAAAGTATAAAATAAATAAGAAATCAAATCATATTTCTTAATGAGAAATCATTTTGACAGCATAAATTATTTTAATTTGAAAAGACTATTTTATTTGATCGAAGATAAATACTAAAGAAATAGACAATAATTTTCAAGAAAGAGACACCAGATAGAATAAATATAGATTAATACATGTTATCATTTTATGACGTAAATTTATTATTTTTTAAAAGTCGGTTCAAACTCTATTTATCGATGTATTATCTTGATTTTTAGGCTTTCATTTTTTTTGGGAAGTTGTGCTTGTTTCTAGAAGGAAACAAATAAAGGGTGATTTTGTCTCTTGATTAGTTTAAGAAAATTAAATGCTGTGGATTTATCAAAATATGCTCTACCAATAGCATTAACATAATTAAAAACAGTTAAAGTGTAGTTAAATGTTTGGTCAAAAGAGAGTGGAAATGGGTTTGTAACTGCCGCATTGGCAATAGAAAAAAATTAGAAACTTGAGTCCAGTCCAGTAACTATAAATAAGGTGGTAAATTGCAATCACATAGTCAACATCCATCCACATTTGTTTCTCATTGTATTCATTACATTTGAACTTATTTTTTATACAAGTATTTTCTACAGTAGTAATGCAAAAAATAATGATTACTTTTTGTTACTAAATGGTAGTGTAAATTATAAAAACCCAAAATTATTTCCATTATATATTTTATAAATAAATTAAATGCCCAAATCGATTAATATTGCCAGAAAAAGGGGAAAAACTCATTGTTTATTTAAAAATAGCAAACTAGTATTTTAATCTTGTAATAAAATGGCATTATTTAAAAGTGAATCCAGAAGAGAATCCCTAACCAAAAATAAGAGAAATCATTTGAAAATATATTATTTTTATTTTAACTTTAAAATTAACGCTTGATAAAAAATCACTCTACCTTAATAAAAACAATAGCATGAAAGGAACCTTGGACCTAATTCCAATTAAATCAAAACCTAATATATTTTCCAAGGTCATCTCTGTAAATCTGGAATTTTTTTTTTTTTCTTTGGGCACACTCGAAATACAAAGGAAAAAAATGAATATGTTAATTTTCAACATTGTAAGTATACTAGAAATGCTGGTTTCAGCTGAAAATGAAAAAATAATAATAAGGTCCGATCATTCAATATAAGAATGCTGATTTTTTTTTTTTTTAATAAATTAGAACACAAGAAATCATTATTGGCTTAACGCACTAAATTAACAATCTAGTAAATCATATCCTCCAGTATGAACAAAGCAGCAAAACAAGAGGCCGAACACCTTTGACCGCAGGCATTAAAAACTACAGAGAACAACAAATTCAATCCTGCAGTTGATAATATTCATACTGAACATACAAGGGGCAAAAAGAGAATGCAAAAGATGATAGAGATAATTCATAACCCTAGAATACAAAATTACATATCTTGTTAGGCTCCAAATTTGTACCTGTCTTCTTTGATGTACCAGAGTTCACAAAGGAGTTGACCAAACGAAAAATTGCTCAGCTTAGCTTAACCTAAACAGTACATAAGTTCTTTCCCGTCCATTTGTTCATTCATATACAGTAATAAATTTTTAGTAAAAAAAAGGAAAAGATGTTAACATGGAATAAGAGACAACATAAATTTAGCTTGATGACACCTCAATGATAGGCCGACGTAAACCGGAATAAACTGCTTTCAAGAAAAGAGGATGTGCGTTTTCAGTGAATACCTCCACTTCCAATTTCTCCATGTGAGGCCAAATCTTCCAGAAAAAGTAAATGTACAAATGTCAGAAAAAAAATTTTCCATCATGAAGATGAAGAGAATGCCAATAACCACAATAATACTGTCCAGCTTTCTGAAATTAGATGCATACTGTGGAGGTGATGATATTTACCTCAGAAGCATATTGCCTTGAGAAGGCCTTGACATAGCCTAGAGTTGATAAACACCACTGCTCTTTTTCACCTATATTATAGGCAGTACTTCCCTTTTCCCCATTAGACTGACTGCCAGAGTTCAGAACAAATAAGGTTAATGCGCATTTGGCTTGGATACCATGGAATGAAAATTTAAACAGCAGTGAGAATAAATGAGCAGAGTAAGGAAAGAGAAGGACAAAAAAAAGGATGGAAGAGGCAGAGGAAGGTTATTGAAAAGTAAGGTAACCTTTTTTTGGGTCTTCCATTTTCGTTGTCCAATTCCATTTCTGATGTTTCATCAATGTCAACAGCCATTTGATCAACCTGCCCTGACTTCAAAGCCCGCAAAGCTGGAGCTTTAGATGGATCCGGCAAGCGTTCCATCAGCACATTTGAGAAGTTTTTGTACAATGAGAGGAACAATGCCTATTCATTTGAATTATTTTCAGGAAAAGCAATTAAAGCTAAGTTATAAGAAGTATGAAAATGATTGTTTGTTTCTATAATTTTCAGCTCTGAAGTAAGAATGGGATTCATGCATTGAGGCCTGGAAAAATATGATGACAAGCAAACGGATGATATAATTTTCTACAAGTAAAGCTACAGCAATAGCCTCATGTCTTGGGCTATTATTATTATCGTACAGCCTCTCACTACAGTGCTAAATCACTGGAGCTGTTTCCGCTCAAATCTTGGCTTGTTTAGAAACAAACCTAGGTTACGGATAGCTCGCAATTTGGGGAAGACGGACGAATGGTGTTAAAGGGATTAGAAGGAGCAGGAGAGCAAAATTTTGAAACCTAGTTGAAAACTTAAGTATTATCATCATAACATCTTAAATGATATGATATTGATGTGACAGAAAAACACCATTAACAAGATAAGAAAGAGAAATATAGAAGAAATAACCATAAACCAATTACCTCATTTTCATCCAGGGCACGAGCAAGAAGAGCCGCCTTGGCCTCCAATGAGTCACGCACAGATATAGCCTCTTCATTTGTTTTTTCAGCCTTTGATTTTAAGGGCTTCATCTTCACAGGGTTCTCACCAAGGACAGGTTCACCATCCACCAGAGTAAGCTTTGATTCAGCAGCATCTAACTCAGCTTTTGCCTTGGCTGCAGCCTCCTCTGCTGATACAACACTCTTCTTAAGAGACAAGATCTCTTTCCTTAAATCAGATATCCGATTGTATGTCTTGCTGATGGCATTCCTAAGGACCTGAAAAGGAAGAACAAGGGAAAGCTCTCCTCTTAGTAACAAATATTCTGAAACATTGTGGGTGAGCCAAATTAGTCAACAAGCCAGAAAGAACGGTAAAAATTTCACTTAAATTCTTTCATTTGCATCTACCAGCCTCCAGAAACTTAACAACATGTTTAAATTTTAAATTTTTAGTGATGGCAATAAAGGATCAACTATCAACCTCGACAAAAATCAAGAAAACATCATCTCAACAGGTGGCAGTCCCCTTTTCAATTCATAGAAGAAAAATGGGAAAAAAAGAGTGAAAGGAACACATAGCCACTTTCCCTATTTCATCCAAGTAAAAGCTACTTAACCTCTCTATAATGGATGGCAATGGAACCATGGAAATGAATTTTATCCCCTAACACACACCTGTTATATACGTCACATTTCCAAGGAACAAGTTGACAGTAATCAAGCGCCCATTTCCTCACCTTTTCCTAGCCTTCCATTACAACCCCTTCTTTCCCCCACCATATAATACTAAAATTTGTAATTGCCTTGCTTAAATGGTGAGGAAAAATTTTATCGCTAAAGGATTCAAACTTCAGATACAGTCATTTTAAAGCAACCACTAAAAGAAAAGTTTTCAATATTCGGTCTCTATTGCAGCAAAAGTTTTTCATGTATACTTCCCATTTGTTTCAAAAAGAGTATCGCATGGGGCGCAAGCTCCAGTAATTGCAAAGGGGGTTTAAGGTGTCACTTCTACTTTTCTAACAATTCTATTGCAGCAAAAGTTTTTCATGTATACTTCCCATTTGTTTCAAAAAGAGTATCGCATGGGGCGCAAGCTCCAGTAATTGCAAAGGGGGTTTAAGGTGTCACTTCTACTTTTCTAACAATTCTATTGCAGCAAAAGTTTTTCATGTATACTTCCCATTTGTTTCAAAAAGAGTATCGCATGGGGCGCAAGCTCCAGTAATTGCAAAGGGGGTTTAAGGTGTCACTTCTACTTTTCTAACAATTCTATTGCAGCAAAAGTTTTTCATGTATACTTCCCATTTGTTTCAAAAAGAGTATCGCATGGGGCGCAAGCTCCAGTAATTGCAAAGGGGGTTTAAGGTGTCACTTCTACTTTTCTAACAATTCTATTGCAGCAAAAGTTTTTCATGTATACTTCCCATTTGTTTCAAAAAGAGTATCGCATGGGGCGCAAGCTCCAGTAATTGCAAAGGGGGTTTAAGGTGTCACTTCTACTTTTCTAACAATTCTATTGCAGCAAAAGTTTTTCATGTATACTTCCCATTTGTTTCAAAAAGAGTATCGCATGGGGCGCAAGCTCCAGTAATTGCAAAGGGGGTTTAAGGTGTCACTTCTACTTTTCTAACAATTCTATTGCAGCAAAAGTTTTTCATGTATACTTCCCATTTGTTTCAAAAAGAGTATCGCATGGGGCGCAAGCTCCAGTAATTGCAAAGGGGGTTTAAGGTGTCACTTCTACTTTTCTAACAATTCGTCGTGATCATGACATAGACGGGCAATGACTTGACCATATCTCTCCAAAACAGTAATGAGATGGGTGAAACTTTTAGACCCAATGTCAAGAAGAGTTTGCACGACCACAGTAAGAGTAACTTCCAAACCATGATGAGGAAATACACTTTCTTCCACCCATGAGATTATTTCTCGGGCAGTTTGCCTTCCCTTAACTTTGTTGCTGAGCTCTGCAGAAAGTGCATGCTGTTCAGTTATTTCTTTGCCATCTTCTGTCATGTATTTGAAGTTTGGAGCACCTTTTGGTGGAAGCAACTCCTCTAAAGCAGGTGCGTTCTCAATGCTCTATATGGACAGGTCGTACGAGGTAAAGATGTTAACAAATAACAACATTATAGCAGCAACATGTTTAGGAATAAACGAATCAATAAAACATTTTTGTAGCCCAATTTCCATTCCTCCTCTCCAAGCCTGTATTCTTTCCATATATTGGGACTTTCAAATAGCAACAATGTAAATGAAGTTTGAAACAAAGAAATTGAGATTGCATTCAATAAGTTAGAAAGCAGAAAGCAAGACAGTAAAAATGATATTTCACCAAAACAGTAGATCTAAAACCATTTATAGCCTTCAAGGGAAAGTGAAAATGATCAGCATAGCATTCGCCGCAAAGAGATGTATTCTGGAAGAAGTAAAGATTATTACACAAACCAGTACAAGATGGTCTAGACAGCAGGTAGCACGAGAGATATCTCAATGGTGAATTTCAATTTTCAGTCATTGAGTAACCCAGGCCAAATCCTAGATCTTGAGGGTTAATACAGAGACCCTTCACAAACTTCCAGGAAAGGTAACAACAGCATTTGCATCAACCATTACCTGTTTAACTTTGTCCCAGTATGATAGACGAACTTCTCTCTCCAAAACCTCTTGAACAAACACACGCTGTGGTGCCCACTTCGGAAGGTCCAAAACATAAGCCCATTCTTCCCATGGCCAAATGAATTGAAAGTTTGACCTGCAACATTAAGAAGTCATTATGAAATATACCGGAAACCAACTAAAGGATCCATCTAAAATTTTATAGTAATACCCCCTTCCCAATCCTACTAACCACCTCTCCCCAACCCCTACCCAGCCAAAAAAAAAAAAAAAAAAAAAAAAACCAATGTTTATAGTAATACCCCCTCGCATCCTAACTAAACCACCTCTTCCCCAACCCTACCCAGCCAAAAGAAAAAAAAAAAAAAAAAAGAGAAAAGAAAGAAAGGAAAGCATGCCCTTCTCACATTTGCTAACTTTCTAATGCCCAGACCTTACAGATGTGTGAAAAACCAAAGGATAAGTCCTTGTGGCGACATTCCATAATCTAAATTCAGCTTATCTTTTCTCAAAAAGAGCACGAACTGCGCCAGCATTACAACTGCAGGATAAAGCCCCAGAGAAGAGCCTACAAAAGTAACAATCAATAACTCATCATCCAGAAAAAAAAAAAAAAAAAAAAAAAAAAAGAAAGAAAGAAAGAAGCACCCTTCTCACATTTGCTAACTTTCTAATGCCCAGACTTACAGATGGTGTGAAAACCAAAGGATAAGCCTTGTGCGACATTCCATATCTAAATCAGCTATTTTCTCAAAAAGAGCACGAACTGCGCCAGCTACAACTGCAGGAAAAGCCCCAGGAAGAGCCTACAAAGTAACAATCAAAACTCATCATCAGAAAGCTTTTAAAAAATGTTCTACTTATTATAGGTTTTTTAACTGAAAGACTCAACATATATATACCAAAAAGAAAAAAGAAAGAATGGTTGAAATAACAGCTTTACAATGTTACCTTACAAAGATCCATTATAACCAGTGTATAATATATTGGCTTGAATGGTGGCGTAGGTAACAAAAGTAACTGCAAGAACAATACAGATGTTTGTTTCATGAGTGCTCAGTTAAATCAGTCAGATCAACGCACACAAAATGGTCAAGCTGTATTTATTGAGCATATATTGAAAAAGCAACATGAATATTAAATTCTATTTGTATATTTCAAGTAACAAGTAGAGGTCTTTAGCTGGCAGCAATCTTTCAACAATTCCACAATGGAAACAAAAACAAAAACAGAAGGGGAAGAAACAAGCACAGAATACATGACATTTTCAGTTTTCAACTTATTTCCATATAATAGAATCTAATATAACTAGATGACTCAAATTGGCCGAGCTGGGTTGAGGCCACAGTTTTCCATTGTTACTATAAAATAATTATCTCTCTCTTTCTAGCCACCCAAAAAATATACTTCACTAATCAAACACAAAAAATTGCCCTTTATTCCATATGGATCAGGTTCCTTTCAAGCATATCAAATGCAAAGTATCTCAACAGTGCATTGGACAAATGCAGCTTGCAAATAAATTTACCGACAGTAGGGATGTTGAGTCATCCAATTTCATGGACACCCAAAATCATTGCAGAGTCACTAATTTGCTTAAACAACAAAAACAAGTGAACCCATTTATTTAACATTATTTTGCAGCTAATGTGACTGAAGGACAAAATCAAGATGTAGCAGTTAACACTCAGCATAGCCACCGAGATGCAGCAGAATAACAAAAAAAAAGAGGAAAAAAAAAACCATTACTTCACAAGACAAAGCAAAAGCATCGAACTGTAGAAAAATCATGGGGAATTCAAATCACAACTAGATCTACCTGAGAGAATATAGTCTCTGCCATAAGATACTCGTATCGGAAGGGGACAGGCAGGCCAACCATGTATGAAGCACATTCCTTTCGACTAGCTTTGCATGAACCAAGAAACAAAAATAACTAAAACTGGAATCAAGAAGAGGTTCAAATAACAGGTTTCTGTGGCTATTGCAGAATTGCCAAAATTAAACAAAGTGAAAGGTACCCATTAATATATCCTACAAAATTAACTTAATATCTCATTCTAATAAGGGAATACCAACATCCAAAGGATTCACATAAACAAACAATGATGAAGAAGATTCAAAAAAAAAATTCTGAAGAGGAAAATTCATTCATGCCATGGAGAGGAACTAACGCAGTCTGCCTGAGATTTAATGATATATATGAACTCATACCTAAAATGATAACTAAGAGTACATCAATCTCAAACAACTGCCCTCATTCATGCACCATAATTCTCTTATTACACCTTTTATTTTTGAAGATATCCTAAGCATTCAGTTGATAGAAGAAATCCATTTCATTCTATTATTCATTATAAAGCACAGAGTAATAGAAATGCAGTAGTGAAGGGCTATTGTTCTACAAACCAGCCATTCAGAAACAAAAGCACATCCAATAAATACTCTTCCACAATGAAGCGATCTATAGGTTGCATATCCTGTTATCAGAAAATAAGAATAATTACAAATACAAATACAACGAATAATAAAACAGTGAAGGACCAAAAAATGCTAAGATTCGCAATTTCACTGAAAGAGTAGCATTAAGGGCATCTTCAATCTGGGATTGAGATAAACATATTCCAAAATCCACATAAAAGAGTATCACATGCGAACTTCAGAAACAATAACAATTTATGTATGGAATGATTAACTACCTCAGTTTTACTTGCAGGAAATATATTAAGCCTGCGTATTCGTTGTGGATACTTCAACTCTGCATTGTGCTTCTGTTTACCATAAATTATCCCAGAAAGCTGTACAAGTGGCTCAGGTTGCTCAGGAGCATTGATGGGCCCAAACTCATGGCACTTTCCAGCGACAAGCTGAGCTTCAAATGCTAGGTGGGGTCTTGGAACTATAAAGTAAAAAAATGAGGGGAATGAAGAAGCAATCAATTAAAAATGATCAGGCATAGATGAGTGTTTGCATGTGCATGAGATAAATGTTTTAAATAAAAGCTTAACAGACCATTCCGTGCAAGAAAACTTATATAGAAGAGGAGAATCTTCCAAAACACATATACATAAAGTCACAACAGATAATCTTTTTATTTTAAGTTCAAATCCTCCATTTTAACATACAAAAGGGTTTTCTAGGACAAGAAAGTTCACACATCAAGAACTCCAAGAATAATTAAAGCAAGCAGCAACCCTGAGCAACAAGATATTATGCAGCGCGGCTAACCCTTATTTTACCCTATGGGAAGATAAAGGTTAAATAAATTAATAAAAAGGGACACTCATTATGAGCAGCAGAAGTGCAAAAGTTATTGAAAAGCAACAAAACAATATGAAATAATTATTCCAAAATTGTTTTCCAAATTCTCTCAAACATTATAATTGACAGTAAAATGCTATTCCCATGCCAAAATATATAATTCCAATGAATTCAATGGGGGTATAGATAGACACTGAAGAGGAAATTTACAGATATATGCAGAGGGGAGAAATGACAAGGTAAAAGCAAAAGGAGCTAAAAATTAGTTACCACTATCAATTTTCCATCCATTGCTGGATAAACCCTGTATTCTATCCCATAAATCTTCCAGGAAATCCTGAAGAAAAAGGTCAGGGGAATGTTAAGCTGGAAGAACTTTAAATATAGCGTAAAAAGAGAAACGAAGAAACTAAACGCTGTAAATATTGCATTCCATGTTTGTATAATTAAAACATTCAATTGGCATTCTATAAAGGCGAAAATCTTTTGCAAATTCACCTTTGCTTTCTGAATGTGTAAGGCACAAATGTCTCGTCTTTTAAAGAACCTAAAATCCCACATCATATAATGCTAAATAAAATTGTACCTTTTCGGTAGCACCTTTCTCAGATTCATCATCATCCTCGAAAAAAGATAGGCCAGTGTCTGAATTGTGCCTCCTAATGCTCATATAGGCTTGTATTCCAACCATGACTCTTTCAATCTCCTCTGGAACTTGCTGAAAGCAGACGCCACACATGTCAGCAAATGGGAAAAGGGGGGAGAGAGAGAGAGAGAGAGAGAGAGAGCACATTTGAATTGGAGAACATAATGGAAAAGGTAACAATCAAGATATAATTGGAAATAGTAAAAAAGAAAAGATAAGGCAAAAGCACATTGTAACAAGGAAAAATGAAGAAAAATTCAATTCTTCTGCACCTTGAAAGAAACAGACCAAGCTTAAAATATAAATACCAAAGACCTTACGATAAGACTACAGAATTTCTCAAAAAACAAAAAAGAGAACTTGAACACTTTATAACCACATTCATATTCATCGAAAGACAAAGTTTGATTAAGCATACAGTAAATTCATTATGTGCGAAACTAAAAATTCAAGTACAACATTTTGAGAACATAAATAAAATTAACAATGATGCACAATAAAAATAAGATTATGGTTTAAATACTCTAAATTTACCAACTCATCCAAAATTCATCAAAAAATTCACCAAATAGCCAGAGAAGCTTTACCTCGACCAGTTCTGATCCTCCCCATGGAAGACAGGATAAAATGCATGTTACATAAAAGTCTCCACGTGCTTGCCAAGAGGGATTTCCTTTCTCCTCATCCACTGTTGTAGCAGCAGAGGACAATAAGGTTTCAAACACAACCACCAAAGCAGTTGGTTGGAGAACTTTACTGCACATCTACAAACAAAAAGTAATAACCACATTACCAAGTTCCCTACCCAAAAACTGTTTTAGGGATTGCAAAAGAAAAGAAATTCTGATCTTTCAACCAGCAAAAAGCAAAAATTTTGGAAATGAACAGTTATTTATCAACAAGTTGGTATTCCTTCCATCTTTGTTACAAATTGATCTGTTAACCATTTTCTAAAGTTTATATAACTGGGACAAATCAGCAAATCAAGCGATTCTTCTATGCATCGATATCTGCACTTAAAAAGAGGTGAAAAACATACAACCAAACTATCGCATCCTATTTCTTCTCTACCCCCAGATATTCCCATTTAAACCACATTCTGGTTTGAAAAGAATCTGCAAATTTCGGCTCAAAATGCAGTACAACGATTCTCCACCAACACCTATATTTTCCCCAAAGCACTTATAGATATATCAGTTCCAAATGACCAAATAGCAACAATAACGCACCATTGATGTCAGAAAGCGCATCAAAACTCGAATCTTATCGCAATTTCCAGAATCCAAGGCATCCTGAAAATTTTATCAAACAAAATACACTAAATAAGAATAAATGTTAAATTGCAGTGGCATTTAAGACTGATAATATGAGGATGGTACGCATAAATAAGATTTTTATACTAAATCAGCATGACCAAAAACCCCAAACGATCATTAACATTATATGCATATACTAAATCACTCTCACATACGCAAATGAACTTTCTTAACTCAATGCCACTCAACATCATAAAGAAGTCTTTATAATTACTTGAAGGAATATCAGGTAAATGAAGCAGTCATTCGAAGACATTAATAGAGGTGTTGAACAAAACAAATATATAGCACTGGGGCATAGAAGCTTTGCAAATGTACATTCAATACTTTATTTTCTTCACAGTCAAACGTAAAAGTATGCACTACAACCTGTAAAGCAAGTTTTGGAAGATAACTAGCAACAAATTCAAGCCAGTAATACTCACTCACCTGGAAATTAGTTTGAGAATTCTCCACTATTTTCCGGACAAAGTCTTCATTTTCCAAATTCAGTAGGCCAACCTGGGAAGAAAAGATAATGCTAGCTAAACAGTCCATGTTCGCTAAAACAGATCTCAAATCACCACAATTATACATACAAAAATGTAGAGATATGCATAGATCACAGACATATATGTAATCATTCATATGTATTATATATGGATTACGCATGTAAATGAAAAGGACAATCTAGAAGCAGAGGTCCAGTACCACTGTCCCATACAAAGGAATCTTGTGAGGTAACTGTTCAGCACATTGAAGAATGAACTGTCAACAAAAGAAATAAAGTAAATACGACATCAAAAGCTTAACAACAGAACCATCTTGTCATGCATTGAAGAAATGATTGCTTACCAAGATTTGCTCATTTTGAAATACAAGGAAACAAACACTTGAATAAAAACAAAGGTTGTTATTGGACTGGGAAACAAACTATATGGAAGCACAGTGATACATGCTTGAAACATGAAATAATGCAATGGCGAATAAAACTAAAAGAAAACAATAGAGTCAAGAGTTTTGCACCAGGCACCTAATTTGATCCCCTTTGGGTCCTTCAGAGAGAGTTATTAGATATGGAATTCAGCACCACTCTGGTTTTTTATGGTTTTACACTCAAATTCAAATCCACATTAATTGCAAACTATCTATTCCAACAAACCTTAGGTCATTTTTATCCTCCATCTTTTATTGACATGTCGATAAGTTTTCTTATTTCCAGTGATGAATTTTATCGTTTCATTACACATAGGCCCTATTTCATTTTACATATCAATGTCAATTTTATATTCCATCATTCTTTTTATAAAGATTAACTTGCACTTCTAAAATGATATATAAAATGATGATCCACGAAAATTCCACTATTAAAGTTCAAATAGATAGTTAGAAGATAATGAAGTGAGCATATACTAGTAGTAGATATTATGCCTCCTTTTCCAAATTCAATGTGGCCATATGAAATGATGTGCAGTGCACAGATATGCAACGCATATCCATCAAGGCGGAAAGATAAAAACAAATAAAAATAAGCTTACAGATAAAATATCATTTGCAGAGTGCTCCAATTCTCGCCGAATAACACCAAAACAAGTTTCCTACAAATTCCGGAACCAAAATCAACACTGGAGGAGTTAAACGAAGCGCTCAAGATACAGATTCTACAATCCTTATTAGACAACCAGAGATCCTAACTAGCACAACAGACCACAACATAAGACTGCTCTGTAACCTAGGGTTTAACAAACATACATGCACCTGGGAAACAAGTAAACGACAGAGTGAGAGAGAGAGAGAGAGAGAGAGAGAGAGAGAGAGAAAAGAAAGTACAGACAATGTGTTCTTTAAAGTCCGAACTGCTGCCATACTCGGAGCATTTATCGCCAATTCGAAGAAGAAGACTTCTCCAGCTGCTCATTCTTGCTTCAAATGAAATCTTCTCAGAGAGAAACAGAGCATCACAGTTGAAGAAATGAAGTCCAGGGATTTAATAGGGTTTAATGGCAGTAGGCCTGTAACAGAAAACAAATACAGGCTTGATTGTCAATTGAACGCTCAAGGAAGTTGCCCGGGCCCGTTTTGATCTAAAAACGAGCCCATCACTACATCCCTGAGGCCCAAATTTTGTTCAGCCTTCATTATGTGTAAAAAATTGTGGACCCACGGCCCACAAGCACGACTGCAAATATATGGCCACTAATATTAGCTTATGTTTATAAAAATTAAAAGAATAAACAAAAATTTTGCAGAGTCAGGAAACTTATGGCTCGGATGATTGGAAGTTTGAATAAGATGTACCTTGTACCGGATACTTTTGTCTGCTAAGCATGTGGAAGGTGGATAGTAGGAATAAGACATGCATGTGATGAGCACGTTCTAATGGACCTTTCAGGGCCCAGTTGTTTGTTAACATACATGAATGAGATGAGTAGCAACCAATCCCTAAATTATCCATCTAACCAGTGGCCTGTCTCTGCCAATTTAATTTAGGTGCAGTTTAATTAACCTTTTTCATTTTCTATAAGAATATAAAAAATTAGGGATTTGAATTTTTTAACTATAAAAATTTTCATCAATTGAATGAATTCAGTAGAATACTATCTGATTGTCGCTCAGAAAATGGCCCAACAAAAGTGCAAGGATCGTCGTCAATTGCTATACACATTAGAGTAATATAATTATGGAAAAATACTTATCTATACCCAGTTTATAATTACACGAACAGAATTGTGATGGATAGTGTGGAAGGTTTTGATTATTATCAGCACATGAGCTGTGCCATGTGTTTTTCTTTTTCAATGGACATAAAGGCTTTGTCTCTTTTTTGGCCAAAAGAAATAACGAAGTTCTTGTTTCTTTGACAGTTATCCATATCAAGAAACTATAATGTTAAAGTAATGAAACTATGTTTCTGCCATCTAACAATAACCAGTGAAATTTGTTGTTTCTTTGAACTTTCTTGAAAATTGAATTTATATGAAAATAATACATAATCTTATTATATTAGTGAAAATTAAGAGTATAGTCTCACCAATAATAATTCTTTGTGCTTGAGTACTGGATAAAACAAATAAAACAATATAATTTTATATTTTTTTTTTAATTAAAAAAAAAGAAGAAGAAAAGTATTAATTATAAGCCGGTAAATAGTTGCATCAGCTCATAAATAGGTTCAAAAAGGCAACTTGCCTATAAATACCATTACCAGTTCAGCTCCTTTTCTTCATAGCTCCGCACAACAACTCTCTCTCTCTCTCAGTCTCAGGTTGCTTCTTTACAGCGAGTTTTTAACTCTGCAATAGCAATGGGAAGGGCGATAAGTATTGTCATGCTATGCTTTGCACTGATCATGCTTGTTTTGCTAGAAGAAAACCAGGTACACATTTTACAGGAATGTACAATGTAGCGACTGGTTTCGAGAGTGTAATTCATTCAATTTTAATTTTCTTTTTTTCTAGGCTTTTAACACTGCAGGCATATTAGCTTCACAACCGCAAGGAAAAGGCAAAAATGCAATGGTAAGGCTACAATATAATGAGCTCTTTTATGGTTTTGCTTGTCACTCCTGTCCATGGCTAATGCTTTTGGTGCTACTGCAGTATGGTGCCACCCAAGGAAGCCTCCGTCCACAGGGTAAGTTACTTGTCATCTTCCATTTTTGTTCTTAATCATTTTCTTATAGCTTCATAGCATTTAACCAATTGGTGAAGAAGGTGCATATATTAATTGGTGTATGTAACTGCAGAGTGTGGACCGCGGTGCACTACAAGGTGTTCGGCGACGGCGTACAAGAAACCATGCATGTTCTTCTGCCAAAAATGTTGCGCAAAATGCCTGTGTGTGCCTCCAGGCACCTACGGGAACAAACAATATTGCCCTTGCTATAACAACTGGAAGACCAAGAGAGGAGGCCCTAAATGCCCTTGATCTTAGTCTCTGGATACCTACCCTGTATTTATTTTTATTTTTTTATTTATATATTTTTAATTTTTAATGTAACCAAGAATAAATATCACTTTCTACGGTAATAATAATAATTCAATTCTTGCCTTTTGTTTTTTGTATCTTAATTTCATTAGAATAAAAATATTTAACAGGAAATTTGAACCAAAATATAAATACTTTTATTCATTCATTTGTTATATATAAATGATTTTTATTCAAATCATGTTTCGTACAAATGAATTTCACATGTACAAAAAAAATATTATTTTCAATTTTGTAAAATTTGATATAAATAGACCAGATTCAATAATTGGTTATAAATGAATTGTATATTCAAATTCATTTATAATAAACTAATGTAAAAAGAAAAATGCATTATGACTTATGAGCATCAAAATACAGTGTTTATCTCAGCAAGTTTTATCTAAATTAATTTGGGTTTAAGCCAGGGCGTTTCATGGATTCGGTGAGGGTTCAAAATCAGTTCGTGGACGACCCAAATTTAGCCCATCTTAGCCCAAGATGTTTTGTGCGATCCATATTTTTCCATAGTGATATTGGGCTAATTCTCTAATTCTTGTGTTTCCTGCAAATGACTCATGTTTCAGATGTTATTATAAAATAACTGAAAAATTTCACAAATCAGGTGATAGTCTGATTGATCTTCTCACTTATATGAAGATTAAAAAATATCGATTATAATTGTTTTCATCAAATTGACGAGTCAAGGGATGAACTATCTCTGTTGTGTAACCCACAAATTTTCTTTTATTAAAAAAGAATCAATAGCTATTAATTACAACTCCCTCGTTAGCAAGCAAATGTCTCGAGATCCCAAATCCCACTCCAGATTTTAATTAATTTATCTGATTTTATCACTTTAACACTAACTACTATATTTATATGTATGCAATATAATCATTAGTATCGTGAAAGAAAGATGGGCAATTTTTAAGACTTACTGTCTGCTTTCAGCAACATTGATCGTAGCAGGAGCTTTAATTTTAAGTGATTAAAAAGTTTGCGGCAGCCAATGCGAAGGCAAAATTTATAACCTTGCATTAAAATTTTTAGAATATATCAAAATTTCAAGGCCAAAAGGGTGTTGCCAAGCTTTGAAAAGTGCAGACAATGACATGCAATGTACGTGCAAGTATATTACACCTGAAGTGGAAAAAATTATAAGCATGGAAATGTGGCTTTCCTGTCAGTTATGGAATCAAACATGGGAGTAAGTTTTTCTTAATTTTTAATATTATAATCAGAGACCGACGCATGATTCAAAATTATAGAAATTCATCTATTTTGAGAGAGATAAAATATAAAAATAAAATAATATTTAGTGAATTTGAATTAAAAATTTCAAAGAAAAAAAACTTGCTAAGGATTATTTTGAAGTTTTTTAAAAGAGCTATTTATAGTAGGTGATAATTTATAGAACTCCATCCATTATGTTTTGGAGTTTTTTTTTATTAAATAATAATTAATCCATATTTATATTATTTTGAACTTTATTAATTTGATATTATTTTATTTATAACTATTTAAAAATAATGTTTTATTAAATGTTATTTTAAAATTTTAATTAGTATTTTTATCTATATAATATATTAAAATAAAATTATATATTCACCTTAAAATTATATATATATATACACATCATAGTACATAAAAAAAAAATTATGCCTTTAAAAGGAATTTTATATTTTAACAACAACCACTATTAAAAATTTAGAAAAAAAAAAAAAACACAAACGGTGATCAACTAACCACTATCAGTAATCAGATACCAACAACTGCTATTAATTATCGGTTGGTATAAACTGCTAAACCAAATAAACAAATCATGATAGAGAAAAGGACAACTATGAGTATAATAAGTTATACTAAATTAATTAAAATTTTTAATTTAATTTTAAAATCTTCTAGTTAGTAATAATACCTAAAAATTGACTCACTATTAATTTATATGATAACTTAGTTTCTCCATTTAGATAAAGAATTGGAGAACATCTTTTAATCAAAATTTTTATATTAATTAAAATTTCTAATTTAAACCCTCTCCAAAAGAGAAATTCATAACTTAGTATAATTTATAATTAAAAAATTTTAAATTAATATAATAAAAATATTTAGGAATGGAATTTTTACTAATTTATAGAAAAACTTAAATAAAATACCTTAATGGGGAAAAATAGAAAAATACACGCTTTGTTAATAGAAAAATATGGAAAGTTTGTTTCCCATTTCATCACAAATATATATAAATAAGTGAAAATAACTTACGCCTAACTTATTAAATGTAAAATAAATTGAAAATCTTTTTTTTAAGAAAAATTGAAAATCTTTAATTTGTCATGCATAGGGATATTTTAATATATTCTTAATTTTATTAAGGATATTTTTGATAATCCAAATATTCTTCTCCTTATTCATAATGTTGTGGCTTTTTTTTATTATTAATTTTAGTAGTTGCTAACTGTCTTGCTAACTATTAAATATTTTGTTAATGTTTGATCAAACGTTAAAGGATGTAACAATTTATAAATTCACTCTCTTGAATTACTAACATGCATGCGATAAAAAATAAAAAGGGTAATGCTATTGATTTGATCAAAATATAATGCTAAATGAAAAGCTAGCATGACTATTTATTTTATAGATATAGATAGATAATTATTAAAATAGAACTCAGAAGTGTTTTACATATCGAAATTCAGTTAATTTAATAATTATTTAGGGCATTTTCTTCTAGAAACATAGAGGAACTAATAGTAATTCCTCCGAGTTACTATATATACATCTACAACATATCACCAAGCTCGTGTGAAAAATTAGAATCATAATCACTGCTGCGAAAGAGAGATGGCAAACATCAAGAGTACTCACCTCTTCGTAACAATGGTGATAGTAGGAACCCTAATTTTGGGTGATTATACAGTTTCGAGCCAATGTCTGCCTCAAATTCCTGGATTTCTTATACAGTGTGCAAGTTCTATCACACTTACAGGGCCACTAATCCCTCCTTCAATTGAGTGTTGCCAAGCATTAAGAGACATAGCCATTAACTGTCTTTGTAGTTTTATTACACAACTGCCGTTTAGCGTCGAAAAAGTAATTTACATCAGTGGAAGCTGTGGCCTTACAATCCCTTCTGGAACTGTGTGTGGAAGTAAGTTTTTGAATTTCAGTTTTATATTATAATTTAATGCAAAAGTCTTTACTTTCAGATTTTTTTTTTTTATGCAATCGTTTTGATTGATGTATTTAATTAAAATATATTTTTAATTTTTTTTACAGAATTAATTTATTCATGAAACATGTAATATTATTCTCGTATCATTAGCAAAATAAATGTACTAAAGTTATGGGTGCACTTGTTTCAGATTACACAGTTCCTGCTCTGTAAGGACTGAGGGCACCAGCTTAAAACATTGGAGATATACACCTATGCAAGCTAGGCTTGGCCAAATCACGGTTCATGGAACCGGAACCGCCGGTTCGAACCGGTTCCGAACCGAAACCGGAATCGGGACGAACCGGAACCGAAACCGGAAAATTCCGGTTTCGGTTCCGGTTCCAGATATTCTGGAACCAGAACCGGCGGTTCCAGAAAACCGGCCGGAACCGGTTGGAACCACCGGTTCTCCGGCCGGTTAGAATCGGTTCCGGATTCCAGATATTCCCTGGACACAGAACCGCGGTTATCACAGGAAAAACCACGGCCCGCGAACCCGGTTGCGAAACACGTTATTCATCCGGCGGATCTAGAATCCAGCCAGTTCAGAACACGGCGTTCTAGCCAGTTTTAAAAACTGTCAGACTTTTGAATTTTTTTTTTTTTTTTTTTAAATATTGTTGTAAAATCTTCTTATTACTCTCTGCCAACGGCCCATAAACGGCCTAATATAACTGGCTATTTTAAGGGTATTTTTTGGGAAAAAAAGAATTTTTGGATTTATTATAAATACCGTTCTTTTATTTACAAAATTAAGTTACAATAAAAACTCTCACTCTCTTCATACTTACTCTCTCTCTACATATAAATACACCCACCTCGTCTAGTACTTACTCTCTATACAAATATACTACACCTACTCATATTATTGCTTAATTCTTCTCTACTCTATACATCTGCTCTTATTAATTGAATTTATCTGTTCTATTTTTTTATTCAATTTTCCACAATTATATTTTTAATTATCATGAATAACATGGCAAGTGGACGAAACTCAAATTCGGGTAAAGGGCAAGGGAAAAATTTGGAGAAATCATCTATGTCTAACAAACGACACTCTAATCAATATTAATTCCTAGAGCAAATTTAAAATTTTGAGGTGTATATTTTTCAGAATTTTTTAAGGTGTATCTTTTCAATTTTTTATGTTCAAAAAAAATTTTTTAACTAATTTTTTAGGTGTATTTTTCAATTTTTTATGTTCAAAAAAAAATTTTTTTTAACCGGTTTTCAAATTTTAAAATGTTAAAATTATGCGATTCGCCTGAAAACCGATCGGAACCGTCGGTTTTGTAATCGGATCGGAACCGGAACCAGAACCGGAACCGGACGGTTCCAAACCGGAACCGAAACCGGTTCTGTACGGTTTGGTTCCGGTTCCAGAAAATCTGGAACCGGAACTGCCGGTTCCGGAACCGTGGCCAAGCCTAATGCAAGCTACTTGTATTAATATCTTAAATAAAATAAATAAATAAACAAAGGCTATATGGCCTGTTTGTTTTTGATATATATTCAAAAACTTCATGTAATGTAATCTACTTCAGTTATTTTTATTTCAATATATATATATATTCAAATCAGAAATTATATTTATTATAAAATTTGCTTCTCATTATTTTTTTAAATTATATTTTGATTAGGTTCGATCTCATTGTAACATTATATATGATCTCGTAGACAACTCCAATATATTTATCTAAATCCCATTAATTAAAATATAAAATTATATCATTCTGCACATATTCCATTCAAGAACTTCATAAAATAATTGGCTTTTTTGCTGATTTAAAAAATAATTTTGCTATTTTAGTAATTAATAAAACTGAATAATAATTCCAATATATATATATACATATGCTTAAATTTAAATTATAAAA